CCCCTGCTCCTTGTAACTGTAAGCACCCCCTCCCCCTGAAAATTCTGCACCCTCCTTCCTCCTGAAAACCCTCCCTTGAGGGGATCATTGGGGTTTTTGGTATTGCGGTATATTAATGGCAATTTTACTTGTGTGGTATCGATATTTAATTCACTCCTAAATGTCGCTTTGTTTTGCAGTTTTTGACAATTTGTATCACTGTGTTGCGTTGCAGGATAGCCCCTAACGTCCCTCCTTCCCCCTCTCTCATGAAAATCTGCACACATACCTCTGGCAGACAAGCTTGGATAAACACATCACTTGGATCACCACACAATCTACAGTGCTGCATGTGAAAATGACAATATACAATCTTTAATAATTTGAACATTATTGTTCTGCCATGTTTTAGCTTCCCTATAACTACAATTTTGAAATTCATAAAACAATATGGAGACTAAAGAAGGTCAATGCCAAACAAGGTACTTATCTAATGAGATCTATGTTCACCAGTTAACTAATGAGTTAATTAATGATTAATTAGCACCAATTAACTAATGAGTTAATTAGTGACCAATTAATGCTAATTAATAGTCATTAAATAATGGCATCAATCAGGATTAATTAATAGTGAATTGTGTGATTGATTACATTAAATAATGACCATTAATTAGCATCAGTTAGTGCTAATTAACCATTAATTAACTTACTTAATTATCTCTAATTAGTAGTGATTTATAACTCATTAATTTAATTATTAACAAGTGAATCAATCAGGCTCCCAAGCCAGGAAGTATTCATAACATAATTATCAAAAGGGTGTATTGATTGTTATCTATAATTAATTGATTGATTAATTGATTTAACGACCTCTCTTTCAGTTGCCCTTCAGTTTCCAGAAGGATTGCTTATATTTGCCTGCATCATTGCTGACATCCTTGAAAAGTAATAGAAACTTTTAGGCCCGTTTTATACGTCGAATTCAGGTCGCGTCGAATGCAATTCAAACAACAGATAATGAAGCTTAATGAGGTTTATCATCTCATCATCTATTGCCTTAATTGTATTCGACGCGACGCGACCAAAATTCGACGTACAAAACAGACCTTAGTTTTCAGAGTGTCAACTCTCCTGTTAAAGGCCGTTTTCCACCAGGCCGAATTTTGCGCGCGGAGCGGAATTTTTCTTTGTCTTTTCTAATTAGTTCCACCCGAGAAATCACAAGACAAAGAAAAATTCCGCTCCGCGCGGAAATTTCGGCCTAGTGGAAAACGGCCTTTAGTGTTGTGTTGTGTTGTGTTTGTCCAGACAAATCGTCTCCAGACTAATGAGGTGAATCTTGTGTTTAGGTTTTCTGAAGTTGAGACGGTCATTATGGGTGATGTGACGTATGGTGCTTGTTGCGTGGACGACTTTACAGCAAGAGCATTAGGCTGTGATTTCATGATTCATTATGGTCATAGCTGTTTAAGTAAGTTTGTAGTCGTTTCGAGTTTTTCCCGTGTTCCAGGTGGCATAGTAGAAATCTAGAATCAGCGTTTACAACCCGGTCGTTATAATTTTACATCTACCTTTGTCGAAACATCCGGTTACTCATCGCGTTATTTTTTTTACTTTCTTGCTGAGGAGAAGTTGAGTTGAAAGTTTTCCAAATACATGTTCAATATTTGTGAGGAAAGTTTCGGATTGAAAGCGATACTGCTTTCTGAAAAAATACAAGAAAAACTTGCACGTTTTAAGCGAAGACGCGAAGCCCTTTTGTCAGGAAACTTTGCTCGAACCGTCCATGTTCTCCCCGTATTTTTCACGTAGTTGTATCCCCATCAGGCGATTCAGTCCCGCTGTCCAAATATTGCCATGTTTATAAACTATCAACAGAATCAATTTCTAAAGAAATGAATAGTGATAACGAGTTGAAATTCGCATAGCGGGATCAAATCGTCGGGCTGGCTACGCCACTGATCTCTATTAATCCGAAGCATTCTCATTATTGGAAACCCTTCACCACAAAGGAGCTCAAAACATGCACGTGTTCAACCTTTCTCTGGCAGATAAATAGGAGTGCATGGTTTTTTATCCTGGACCATTCTGGACCATAGTAAAGTGAATTATAAAGTAACATGTATATAATAACGCGTGCTCTGATTAGTCGAAACCCATGTTTGGATCAGGCCATCCAAACACGGAAATTTAAAGTGAAAGTTTTTTAAAGTGAAATTTTAACACGGAAAGTTGTTATTTTGTAAAACAATTACTTTATGGTTTCCGTGTTTGGATGGCCTGATCCAAACACTTGGGAATGTTGCTCGAGTTAAGAAAAGCGCGCAAAATCACTCGCCTTCGGCTCTTAACTCTCGTAACATTCCAGCATGTTTGGATCAGGCCATCCAAACACGGAAACCATAAAGTAATTGTATAGGGGTATGGGTATACAAATCCGCCGATTCGCCCAAATTTGAAGCAAAATCCGCGATCCGACAATGGTTTTGTCTAAATTTGGATCCGCTAAAAGCTCTACTATGAAGTCACAATCCAGGATCCGAACTAAATTGCAAGCTAAATCCACAATCCGAGCCAAAATATTAGATAAATCCGCAATCCGCTGTATTAATAAGATCCGCAAATCCGTGTAAAATATTCGCCAGATCCGAAATGTGACATCTCATATGTTGTTTTTTTGATTGTGTCAATGCTCTGAAATGTGACATCTCATATGTTGTTTTAGTACCAGTGGACGTGATGGAAGGTCTTAAAATGCTCTATGTGTTCGTTGACATCAAGATAGATACAGTTCACTTCATTGACACAATCAAGTATAACTTTCCTGCGGGATCAAAACTGGCCTTCGTCAGTACTATTCAGTTTGTCGCCGCATTACAGGTTATACTGCTTATCTTGGAATTTATTCGAATGTTGAGCGTTTCTTGAATATTGACGTTTTTCCTTAGTCTTCTGCAAGAGAATTATCATCTGACTACACCGTGGATACCCCTCAATGTAAACCACTATCCCCTGGAGAGATCCTTGGATGTACCTCACCAACCCTGCATGATAAAGACGCACTGATGTAGGTAGACAGTTAATATAAATATGTTAGGTGATCATCTGTCCAGTTAGGGCATGCAGAAATTCAGGCTTTGCACGTAAACAATTAGCCATTCCGAAATTGATGAGAGGACTGGGGACGAGTGTTAAAAAGTGCCCAAATTAAGAAATGAACCAAATCACTAAAAGATCACCTCAAAATTAGTAAGTATGCAAAGTTTGAATACGTTTACATGAATAAGCTTTCGAAAATTGCGATATTTACTATGAAATGTACTGTAATTTTTGTTTTGGGGGACGCGCGTCCCAAAAACAGTCTTTTAATAAGCAATTTCACAATTCGAAAGCTTACTATTCGAAGGGTATTCATGTAACGTACGTCTTAAAACATTATATGCTTACTAATTTTGAGGTGGTCGTTTTAGTGATTTGGTTCATTTCTTAATTTGGGCACTTTTTAACACTCGTCCCAGTCCACTCATCAACTTCGGAATGGCTACGTGTTCTGTTTTACAAACCCCACTGTTTTCCATGCCTTGTAAATTTCAAGGAGATGTATCAAAAGTGTGATTCTGTGACCGTTTTTTGGTTGATTCTGTCAACTGCTTGAAATACACCCTTTCGATAATTACATCATTTGGCCTGGGAGCCTCACTCTCATGAATCGTGCGCCAATCACCTTGCGTAATTTACTAATGAGAGCGAGGCTCCAAAACCAAAAAGTATGTGTGACGTAATTATCGAAAGGGTGTATTGAGAGTGTACAGCGAAGCTTAGTATGATCATGGTAATTTTTCGGGTTTTGTCCACTTACGCCAAAACCTGTTGCATATCAAGAATTTTCAGCTATTCTTTGTCTAACTGTTCTCCATGCTTACCAGTAGCTTATTTATTTTGATTTTATTTCGTTAGATATTTAGGTGATGGACGGTTTCATCTGGAGTCAGCAATGATTGCTAATCCAACTGTCCCTGCTTACAGGTGAGAACCAACAAGACAGCCTGACATTGTATTGTTCAATTGCTAAATAAAAAGATAAATCTCTTCATGAGCCAACGTACCTGGTGCCTGTAATGTCACGTGGATGACATTTCCTGTGGCCAGTTGTAAGGAGGCTGGGTCACACGCTATCCACACTGAACGAACAAATGAAACTGGACGAATTTGTCAGGACTTTCAAAATAAGCCGGTGGATGCCACGAGGTTTGCCACCGGTTGAAATATCAATGAATTCTGCTCTCCTTCCTCCACTCTAAGACTTCAAACAAAGTTATTTTTCCTTAACTAACCTTGTCTACTTCACAACGAATAATTCTGAAAGCCCTGATTTGTGTATGGTTCAGAATTATTTGGATCTCGTTGAACGTTGTCTTTGTTTCCACTATAGGTATGATCCTTACAGCAAAGTATTTTCTCGTGAACATTACGATATAAACAAGATGCATGAGAACAGACAAGCGGCTATAACTCAAGCTTCGGACAGTAAAACATTTGGGTTGATTCTTGGCACACTAGGACGACAAGGAAATCCTAGGATTTTACAGGTACAGGACCTCTAGGGAGAATATTTTAGAACTGATAAAGCTATCCAGTATAAATAAAGTTAGTTTAGGTTTTCCTCTGTAGTAACACTGAATCAATAAGAGATGATCCTTACTGGACCTCTAGGAAGAACAGTTAAGAACTGATAGAGCTATCCAGTATAAATAAAGTTAGTTTAGTTTAGGTTTTCTTCTGTAGTAACACTGCATCAATAAGAGATGATCCTTACTGGACCTCTAGGAAGAACAGTTTAGAACTGATAGTTATCTAGTATAAATAAAGTTAGTTTAGTTTAGGATTCCTCCTGTAGTAACACAGGATCAGTAATATCAAACTCTTATTTCTTTCCCAGAATCTTGAAGAACGTCTTGGGTTGTGCAACCGAAAGATTGTGAAACTTTTGTTGTCTGAAATTTTTCCTTTCAAACTAAATCTTTTCAACCATATTGATGCGTAAGTTGGATAATTGTGACTTTGCTTAGCTCGATCCGTTACTGTACGCAAATTCATCTAGTTCTGGATGTTCACACAGGAATTCGAGTGGTTAGGTGTCTCGAATTCGTTCAGTTCATGTGGGAACTGTTCGAAATTTGTCCGTGCGAACAGAACCTTATAGCGTTTATTTATTCCAGATGGGTGCAAGTGACATGCCCTAGATTGTCTATAGACTGGGGAACGGCCTTTACCAAGCCTCTTTTGACACCTTACGAGGTAAGCGACATCTATCATCAGCTAACTTATGTTTATATGCTCACTGCCAGCCATTCTCATAATTACCACTGTCCTAATAATATAACAGAACATATCATGCATGTAAGTGAAAAGGCCTTTTGCATCGACGTCAACACATTGAATGACTGGATGGCATAAAGGACACTGGAATTTTCAAACATTGACGAGACAAATGGAACATTCCATAGCCTGAAATAACGGTTGAACAACGGACATTTTCCGACCAAATGCTAAATTGGTCGGACATTTTGTCCGGACAAGAAGTATTGGAATCAACCTTCTTGAAAGATTGGGTTAACCATAAGTTGCGTGCAACCTCTCGCAAAGAACATTAAATGTAAAAGATTTAACTATACTGGTGTTTGGCATAAAGTATTGTTTATATATTGGCTTAATTAACCCAACGAAGCCATAAAATCAAAATGGAATCGACACAATGTCCGACCAAGTTTGATAGTTTCCGATCAAATTTCGTTTTGGTTGGACATTTTTTCCGGACAAATTTAAATTTTGAACTTTATTTCAGGCTCTGGATTTCGATCACTGGATCGTGCCCGGATAGCAGTATTGTTATGGAAGTGTGATACATAATTATGCTTATTCGAACAGGTATAAACACGGATTAATTAGGAAACCTAAATCTTCTTCACACAGGCAATGGTTGCAGTGAAATCAATCGAGTGGCAAGAACAGTATCCGATGGACTTCTACTCGAACTCAAGTCTGGGGGCCTGGACGCCAAACCATGAACAGTGCAAGCTTGGCAAGAAGAGAACCAAGGTGAAGAAAACGGAAGTAAGGGGGGAGGGAAAGGAAGGAGATAGTGAGGCATGCGCATGCGTGAATAGAGAGACTCAAAATGTGGAAAAGACTTGAGAAGTTTGGTTTAACGGAATACCGCTGATTCATCGACGTCTTGTACAACTGCAGGCTGGATGAGTTTGATAACATTGCATGGACAAATGCCAGCCAGTTCACATTTTCCGATAACTCACATGCCTAGTTACCACTGTTCTGATAATGTAAGCATCGAATCAGGCTTTTAGCCAGGGTCCTAAAAGAGGGTGTCCAATTTTGGTATAACGAAACATCTACAGTAAAGAGAGGGGGTGAGAAAACGTTCCTCTGGAAAATCTTTGAAGTTTACGTTACTTCATATCAGTATCTGTTCCAAGCTTGTTCGAAATTTTTCAAACACACTTGGCTTTGTGAGTTTGTGCCGCTATGCTTCTTCACTTAACTACGACATTTTAATTCAGCCAGGTACCCCATCAGGTTGATCAAAATGTCAAATGTATAATAATAATGAGAATTGAAGCTATTTCGTTTCAAATATATTAATATTATATACTTAGGGAAATAATTGAAAATAATTTCCCTTTCCCCCCAGAATTTGGGCGTCCAAAGGCGTCCACTTTTCGTTCTAGGGGCGTCCCAGGACGCCCTTCTGGCTAAAAGCCCGCATCGAATGGAACAAAGATAACCAAGTATTTCAATTATACATGTCATTGAATTCCTAAAGCTTCGGATACACGAGCAATATTTTTGCTGCGATGGTCACGCAATGGGTGATGACAGCATTGCGTTGCCGTCGCACAAGGTGGCTACACCTGCAATATTTCACCTGCAATATATGTCTTCGTAACGCTTTTCATTGGCTGGTCAAGAAACGTGTCATTCATCAACCTTGACCTTCCTTGACCACACCTCCCAATTTTCGGCAATCATTGCCGAAAATCAAATGATTTGAAATTTCGGCAACGATTGCGCGCAGCTTTGCGTTGCCGTCGCAGAGCATGATGCACAAGCAATTTCTTTCTCGCGACGGCAATGCAACGATTTTACCACCATTGCATTGCCATCGCCAGAAAAGTATTGCCCGTGTATTCGTAGCTTAACTCATGCACATGCCTAGTTGCCACTGTTCTGATAATGTAAGCATAGAATAGAACCAAGCGTTTAGATTAAATGTGATAACATCAAACCACGGAAAATATAAAACTAACTTTATTACTAAATTTGACACTACAAAATTCTCAAATATTAAAAATTACAATATAGATATCTCTTTTATATAAGCATGAAAAATGCCCATTTAGCTAAAAAATAGCATGCGAAGCTTTCATCATAAAACCTCAAATATGAATTTTAATAATGTAAGTTGTGAAAATCGAGCCTATTACAGATGAATAGATTAACATTATTTTCTCATTCTGATAACTGCAGGAGTGCAGGTTGACCCCCAACTATACCACACAGTAATTCAGTTAATTGTTAATCACTTGATCTGAATATTACGAAGTAACACAATCGCAAAATTTCTAGTCGATTCTTAGTTCTCATCAAATCAGATCACAATGTATAAAGTTTCCATGTTGAGCAATAGTGATCATTATTTTATAAAACTTATGTATGCCTATTGGCTCTTTTTGGGTATTTTTGTATATTTAGCTAAACAGACAAGCTAAGCATTATGATTTCCCATGATAATCTGCTTTATCTTCACCATAGTAATATAAACAATTCCCCCATTATAATCGAAACTTCTCTGGGAAGTATACAACTCATTTAATTCCCCCAAGAACCTAGCTAGGAATGTCCTATCACACACGTACCGATATTCTGTAAATATATTTTATATAAGAAACTATATTACCTTTCAAGAAGGGTTAAAATGTTTGTATATTGAAGAGACATAGGTCATCACACTCTTTGGTTCCGGATTGGAAACTGATAGCATATCTTCAACCTCTAGAAGTTCAGCAACGCCAGCCTCACTGAATTAATAAAGAAAATACATGTCATTTATTGTTTTGCTTGTACAAGCTCAGACACAATCTCTGTCTAGTATCAGTTACTCTCTCAGGACACAAAATATGGAACACCCGATCTGAGTTGTATTGCCTCAGCTGGCAGACTATCAATGTACCTAGTTTTCACATTGTTAAATGCTCGTAAAGATCAATTGCGAATATTTTAACGAATTTTATTTGTTTAATAGTATTCACTGCCTATGGGGATAATCTCGCGCTTCATTGCTGCATCTACCATAGAGATTATAAATAACACTAGAGGAGGCATCGAAGTTAAAAATTGGGAACGCAGCTAATTGGGGGGGGGGGGGGATATCAAATCGTCTCCATTGGCTGATTTGAAACTCGTCACCAATGGGAACGTGAATACACATCCGGGACTCAAATTCCCCCCCCAATAGCTGCGTTCCCTTTTTTTAACTGAATTAAGATTACAATGCCTCCTCTAGTGTTACTTATAATCTCTATGGCATCCACTACATGCGTTTTGATTCTAATAAATCTTCATAACTTTCATAAACATCCCTCTAAGATGCCTTTCTGATTTTTATCCAGTCGTAATTTGTTTGTAGCCTTATTTTAAAATTATTCATGAATTTACAAGTAGAATTCGAATAGGGCTTCGTCAGAGCGACCGTTACCGCTGAGATTGCGCCTTCGATTCTTGTTTCGGACTAATGACATTCACGCGTGAAAGAGTCGGTGGACGCTCTGCTGAACAAGCTTTCTCATAATCATGTTGATCAATAAATTGATTGATAAATTGATCAATATGATTGATCGATAATTACTCACGTTGCTGCACCAAACGCCATCTCGAAGTTCCGTTTCTTGTCTCCCCCGGCGAGAAGTTCCTCGTAGGGTATTTTCTCCGGTAAATAAAGATGTATTAATGCACAGAATGCTAAACCATCCGCCCAACTCGAGGAGAAATTAGTAAGCTTCACTCCCTAAGAAGAGTTTGAAAAAGTTTTATTTAGGGATGTTTGTGACAGAGTGGCGAGTGCGCGTGTCTTACATACATACATACATACATACATACATACATACTTTATTGAAATGCTCCTAGACTGCTTTTTCCGCATACAATTACAAATATGAAAAATTTAAAGTTAAAACTATGTTACGTTATTATGTTATAACTAATGTTATAAATTAGAGTAAAAGGTATCTAAAAAGTGTGTTTTAATTTTAGTTTTAAAATTACTTAACGAAAAAAAGTATGTATGTATGTTTATTATTTATTGAAATTCGCAGCCAATCACAGTCCGCCATTTCACCGGAAGTGATGCTTGCCATATAATAATAAATGATAACTTACCTCGTAATCGCGTAATTTAAATCTACACCATGCCAAGAGTTTATCAACGTTTGAACCAGAGCGTTTAACATTTGAAGGTGCTCTGAAATGAAGATAAAGAGAAAATTAGTAAGTGTTGTTTTCTGCTGGCTGAGGTGCGAAACAAGAAGAAAATGTTTTCTCACACAAGGCTGGGAGCCCGATTGTGAATCGGTTGTAAATGGGTGGTGCAGGTTAAGCCAGCACATGTTGTCGGTTCCACAAGCTTGACTAAAGCACAGAATAGGAAGGTATAGCAGAAGTCTCACTCAAGCAAATATTTGTCCGCGTTTTTACAAGCGATACGTCATCAATCACGCCATCATGGCTAGTACAACCGGCACTTTGTACCTACCAAAACCTGATAAAAACTTCCGGCTGTACTAGCCAGGATGGCGTGGATTGGCGTGAGCAAGTTAAAATTTTCGTGGACGTAACACAAAGGAGTGAGACTTCTGCTATACCTTCCTACTCTGTGACTAAAGTACCCACCCGCCCGTTAGTATAAGACAATTAGCCTGTTAGTGTAGTAGATTTTAATAACAGATGTCAAGCTACATTAGGTAGATTGTTGTGTATGATTAGCAGTGTTAGCTGTTGATGTTTACATATAAGTAAAGCGTTTTGCGGAAGAATTTCCTCATACTTTTGAGCAGGACTGTTTGCCTCCAGTTTCTGCATGAAAACCATTCTTTTGTTCTTTGCTGACGAAGCTTGGTCACGCTTCGCCGTAACTCTATCTCGTTGTCTTTGTGCCATGCGTTTCTGAAGCTCGGGGTCTGCAAGTTAATGCTGGATCTTAGAGTAAGTTCACCAAAAACTACAACTAAACTAACTGTATCTATACTGGATAGCTCTATCAGTTCTAAACTGTTGTCGCTAGAGGTCCAGTAAGATCATCTTTTATTGATCCAGTGTTACTACTGGAGGAAACCTAAACTAAACTAACTTTATTTATACTGTATAGCTCTATCAGTTCTAAACTGTTCTCCCTGGGGGTCCAGAAAGAGTCCTCTCTTATTGATCCAGTGTTACTACAGGAGGGAGCCTACACCAAACTAACTTTATTTATACTGGATAGTTCTATCAGTTCTAAACTGTTGTCGCTAGAGGTCCAGTAAGGATCATTTCTTATTGATCCAGTATTACTGCAGGAGGAAACCTAAACTAAACTAACTTTATTTATACTGTATAGCTCTATCAGTTCTAAACTGTTCTCCCTGGGGGTCCAGAAAGAGTCCTCTCTTATTGATCCAGTGTTACTACAGGAGGGAGCCTACACCAAACTAACTTTATTTATACTGGATAGTTCTATCAGTTCTAAACTGTTGTCGCTAGAGGTCCAGTAAGGATCATTTCTTATTGATCCAGTATTACTGCAGGAGGAAACCTAAACTAAACTAACTTTATTTATACTGTATAGCTCTATCAGTTCTAAACTGTTCTCCCTGGGGGTCCAGAAAGAGTCCTCTCTTATTGATCCAGTGTTACTACAGGAGGAAACCTAAACTGAACTGACTTTATTTATACTGGATGGTTCTATCAGTTCTAAACTGTTCTTCCTAGAGGACCAGGAAGGATCATGACTTGGTTGGTTCAGTACAAGAGGCAACCGGGAATATACACTAACCAAACTTTCGTCTCGTCGTTACCGTTTGAACAGAAGTTGTGTTTCAATAAAATAAACACGAAACTCACCCATGAAAGTTTTCTTTGTGGTAGTTTTCGTTTCTTTAGTTTGTATCTTTCCTCCACCTGGTGTCGTTGTTTTTGTTGTTGTTGTCACTTCCTTCTTCTCTTCAACTGCGTCGCCATCTTGTTTTGTCGTTGTCTCCTCTTTCACCTCAGTGTAAGTCTCGCCATCGTCTTCCACATGCTCTGTAACCTCAATCTGAACTGGAGATTCTGGTTCCTTGGCTGTGATTGAAGTATTCTCAACTTTGACTGTGAGACCGTTCACAGCCTTGTCTGCAGGAGCTGTCTCTTTCCTCTGGCTGCCTCTGTGGAAATAAAAAGGACAGTGTTTAGTTGAATTTAGTACGAATTACTTAAGTTCTCGTCTTGAAAAATAAACAAACTTTATTCTATAATAGTTTTGTTTGTGGAAACACCACGTAAATTTATTACTGCAAAGCTTTCGATCCGTAAGCCCAGATCTTCATCAATGCTATTCTACCAATACCTGTACATACAATACACAATATATTAAATTTACAGAGAGACCAGATCAAAATTTGTTATGACAAATGTTGGACTGATGAAACTGTTTGCCTTTGCCTAGGAATTTATAGTTTCCTCCTGCTGTTATTCTCCATATGTCTATTACTTATTTGTATTGCTACTTTATTTAATAGGGATTAATAGATTTATTAAATCAAGTCTAAACTAAGTTTATCTGGTAGCATCAATTCACTCCCTAGAGCTGCAGTAAGCGACATCTCGTATTTCTGGTTTCTCAATACGGAGAATAGCTGCGGTATTTGGTAAAGTCAAACTGGAAGTAGCCTGCGTGGCAGTCGCTTTATTTTATTGAAGGTTTTGAGGATTTTGAATAAGTGGCGGGGTTTTTCTCGCCCTTTTCTTCTTTGCCCATTTTTTCTAACCCGCCATTTATTCAGAAATCCTCAAAACCTTCAATAAAATAAAGCGACTGCTACGCAGGCTACTGCACCTGCAAAAAATTAATAAATTCGGGTTGAGGCTGCACGTAAACTGGAAACAGTCTGCTCATGCGCGACTGGGGCGAGACTTTAACGCGTCATCAGTCGGCTGTCATAGAGGTCAGAACTCCAATGGCTATGCTTATGAAATTTATTCATTTGGCTTCGCTTCTTACAAAACAAAAGCTTATAAAATAAAGAAGCTGGGACACCACAACAGCTTAAACGCCAATTACAGTCGCCCTTATGTTATACAAACATATTTGTTTTGCAACAGGAAGTAAAACTCTTCATGTAATCAACAAGTGAGATAAAATTGCGATTTCGCATCCGCGCAAAATTCCAATCATATCGCGGGAAATTTTTTTCAACCGAAAAGATAGGAGCTACTAAGGGTATATAGACACCGTTAGCCTGACGGCCCATTGTAAAAGAGTAAAAAGATAGATTGCACTGTGCCCGGACTAAAATAGTTTAACATTTGTAGCATCTGTCTCACATCTGAAATAATAATATGAATTTGACATGAATGTTTACTATTACATATAGCAAATCTGTTGCCTGACAAGAGCTTTCGTGCTATTTTATACAAAACCATCTACCAAAACCTGAATCGTTTCATTGCAATGAGGGTTTTTTTCAAGTTTCACACCAATAAAATCTTTTACCAAGCTAATGCTCTAGTCCATGTCAGACCATGATGTTCCTATATAATGATATCATGTCTATATCACTGCAAAAACTGTTAAGGCTAATTGCTTGACAGGCCATTTAGAACTTTCCCTTTCATGTACATCCATAGGCCACAGACCATAGCTTTTTTAGCCAGACAATCATTTGCCTATACGGTTACTGTTTACGCGTCAACAGTTAGAAACCATTGCAAATTAACAAGATAAACAACATCGACTCTTGTCACTTTGTTTCATGCGTAACGTGCTGTGTCCAAAACAGTTTTTTAATGCTAGAATTACCATAAATACACCAACCTAACTGTAATTCGCGTAGACATTTTCCCACCAACCACTGATAATTTCACCACCAAGCGACAGACTGTTCAACAAATTTATAGGCTGTCTTACATATCCAGCCCACAATGCTAATCAGTTTACAATGTACGTATGTTTATATATAGGCACAAGTCTTATCGACATGTAGTATGCCAAATATTTTCACCGTTAATATATTATAGCATAAGCCCCAGACACCGGGAAATATAGCTAATTATTCCATGATTCTTGTATATATATCATAGAACGGCTATAGCATAGATTAGCACAGACTTTTTTTTATAAATATTAGCATACTGTTTGTGATTGTCTTCTGTTTTTTAAGTATTTCATAGATATAGTATAAACGTTATAATTTGTATGTCTGACCAGCTTAATTAAGGCCTCATTAACTCTTTGGGGAGTAACAATTTATAATGAACATTTATGTAAGTTATGTGGTGGCTAGCTAATTCACGGAGTACAGTGAGCTAGTCTAAGGTCTGTATCTAATACAATTTTTAACTTGCCCGCTTTCATTCAAATTACAGATTCTGTGTCTAAACTTTATTTCTGTGAGCCCGCCATTAACGAAAAGTCAAAACTGTTTTGAAATTTATAAATGTTTTACAAACTGAAGTTAATTGCTCTTTGTATCAATTTTAATTTATTCAGCATATCTATTTCAAGACAAATAGTCTTATTTCAAAAGGCATGAGTAACGATACATCTGTGCTTAATTCTTCAACATTTCTGCTTTGTTTGATGGCATAAAGCTTTGCTTCAGTAAAATATCTGTCAGTTTGAGGGTAAGCAAGGTTTATTCTCAGGAAGTGTAGTGTTTTTGGTCCTCAATGCAAAACAGAAGTGTTTTTGATAATTGGAAAATATGTAACTAATTATATGAGACGAAATTATGCAAGAGTTTCAGTGACCGCTCTAATCTGAGAGAATGCGAAAAAGTGCAGCCAGCCCATTGCAGTCTATCCATGCACCCGCATTTAAGGACGAGAAAACCGCCTGATACTCAGGTCAGTGAAAGTGAACGGTCAAGGTACTGACGTCACTACAAAGCATTTAATTAACTGAAATGGATATTAGTCAAACCATGGATTGTAAAATAACTTTATTTTATTATCCATGGTCAAAATGGAGAGCTGAGCACGGTCAGTTCTGAATTGTTCTTGAAAGTCCAGTAAGCTATAGGGCAATGCTTTGATCCAGTGTTACTAAAGGGGGGAAACCTGATCTAAACTAACTTTATTTATACAGCACAGCTATCACAATCAATCATCACATTATCACTACTAGACTGCGAGCGATCCCTCCTTTCCGCGGGTTTAGATTTCCGGGAATGCGAAAGGAAAGGTCTACATTACTACCAGGGCTCGAAATAGCGGGCTGCCAATGGCTGGAAAAAAAGAAATGGCAGGCAAAAACAAATTTGAACTGCCAAAGTAAAAAAAAATGGCAGGTGAAATTCTATAGATATATTTCATTTCATTTTCTTACCACAACTCATATATACTAGATCATTTAGTTGCCACTAAATACGTTTATATTTGAAACGTGAATCCAAGTTTACTGTAGTAAAATAGACAAGTTTAAAAGCAATAAAAATGCATATCATGAAAACATTGATTTTTACAATATGACTCATATGAGACATCGCCATTTTGGCAGTCCAATGGGGGCAATGAATAAAAATGGCAGACTAAAATTTATTTCACCTGCCAAAAAATTTTACACTGGCGGGTCATATTTTTTCTCTATACGGTACTTCGAGCCCTGATTACAACCATAATCATCATTACTATCATTACGAATAATATCAAACTTACCTAGGTGTATATCCTTTTGGTTTCACAACGGTCTCATCCTTAGCTTGAAACTTGGACAACTTTTCAAACAGTTTAGTCTTTCCCCCAGCACTCTTCGCGGTATCCTCCCTCGTCTTATAACTATCTCGTGGCTTGTACTTGGCTTTTCCCTTCGGCTCAGGAACCTCTTTGGGTGCCGGGCTGGCTTCTTTATGGTTTACGCTAGGCGGGCTGGCCGCTACATTATCAATTTTCACATCAAGCTTGACATCGACTTGTGCAGGTATTTCTTCATATTCGCCGTCTTTACCTTCGCCGTCTTTACCTTCGCATGTCGAGCTGATATCCTCGTCTGTTGGTGTGGGACCGTTCTGTGTTGGTTCTGGCTTGTTTTGAGCTGTTTTCGACTCACTTCGTGTTACTTTCGCCTCGTCTCGTGTTGTTTCGTTTCGTGCTTTCTCGTTTTTAGCTGGGACAGGTTTGGGTTCTTTAACTGGGGCTTTCTTTTTAACCGGCGCTGGAATGGTGACCTTTATTGGAGCTGGGGGGTTGTCTTTCTTTTCCAAGGATACGATATCTTCAGCTGCGGCCTCGGGCACCTCAGGTGTCTCTGGTTGTTTCTGTTCAGGTACCTGTGCCTTGGTTGGCTGTTCTGCCTTGGTTGGCTGTTCTGTCTTGGTTGGCTGTTCTGCCTTGGTTGACTGTTCTGTCTTGGTTGGCTGTTCTGCCTTGGTTGACTGTTCTGTCTTGGTTGGCTGTTCTGTCTTGGTTGGCTGTTCTGTCTCCTCTGATTTCCGACTATCTTTTGTCGTCTCAGACTTCAAACTGCTCTTTCTAACACTTCCCGCGGGTGATTTAACACTCGGGCTTCCTCCTTTCTTTAACGTGGTTCTAAAATCAACCTGAGCTCCGGCTGTATTTGTCTTTCGCTCTAAATGTACAGCTCCGGCGCCAATCTTTCCCGAAGGTTTCAAATTACTGCTTCGGAAGTCGACTTGAGCACCTTGAGTTGAAATCTTATTCTCCAAGTTCACACTTCCAGGTCCAATACGTCCAGATTTCTTCAAGCTTCCAGCTCTGAAATCAACTTGTGCACCAGTCGTGTTGTTTTTCTTCTCAAGATTAACTTTTCCAAGTCCAATCTTACCAGATTTCTTGAGGTTGTTTCTGAAGTCAACTTGGTTAACTCGACCAGGTTTTTTCTTCTCATTATTCTGCGGTGGCCAGCTAGGTTTGGATGCTTTCCCTTCACTCGAAGCATTGCTTTCATCTTTTGAAATATTTCCACCATCTGCCGTGTCTCGTTCTTGGGAGTCCTGGCTAGGCTGGTCTTCGCTTTCCTCACCATCAATATTCAAGTTAACTTCACCATCGATTTTAAATTCCAGAGAAATTCCTTCTCCAACATTTCCCTCTACTTCGCCATTTACTTCATCTTGAGTTTCTTCTTCAACCAGTTCGCCTTTCGGTACTTCAGGCGTATCGTCCGCACTCTCTTGCCTCTCTGCCTCATCGTCGTCGACCCCTCCATCGTGGTTCTCATCAGCACTGTGCTCAATTTTAATCTCAACTGGTGTTGCAACAGACACCTCATTCGGGACCTCTACAGCTTGATCAATCTCGAGGTCTGCTGATTCCTCAACGGTATCTTCTGTGTCTTGTTCAAGTTGAATGTCCTTCGATTGTCGAAGGGTCAACTTAAACTTAATCTCACTGTCATCATCTGCATGGTTTGCATTTGTCGTTTCTATAGTAACAGCTTCTGGGTCGTCAGTGCTCATTTTCACGGAAATACCAAATGGTTCATCAGAGTTAGTTTCAATGGTGTCAGATGGTTCATCAGAGACTTCGTTAGTGGGTTCATTGGAAAGTTCATTAGCAAGTTCGTTAGGGGGTTCGTTAGGCGGCTCTTCAGTTTTTGTCTGTATACCAACAACTGATTGTTCTTCAGATGTGGTTTCTATGGTAATACATGGGGCATCGTCAGATGTAGTCGTTATGGAAACATGGGAGATATCATTGGTTGTGGTTCCCACGGTAACACTGGATGGTTCATCACGTTTGGTTTCAATGGATTCGTCCGAAGCTGTTTTTTGATATCGTCTTGTGTCTCGTGTTGGTTCTTCATGAGATGTTTCAGTCGTCTCCCTTGTTCTTCTTGCACGTCTTGGTGTTGGTTCCTCTTCTGAAACAGGAAATCGTCGATCAATTACACAATCAGTTTAAAGTAATCAATCATTAATTTGAACTATCCAGCAGAAAAGCACTACATCCATACCTTCAGCTTTTTTCCTCTTCACTTCTCTAATTCTTGCACGTATTCTCCTTCGGTCTTCAATCTGGGACGTTGGAATTTCATTTAGCTACATTTTCAGAAGAGAAATAGTTCAAGTGCATTGGTATTAGTCTTATCACTCATTGATGCTCAACATTTAGTAAGATGGTAAGTAAATTTGTCTAGGGTTAGACAGAGTAAAATAAGAAAGTAGGGTGCCAGTAACAGCATTGATGTCTAACTATTTCCCCTTCATGAATAAAATTGTCTGGTGTTAGGCAGGCTTAAATAGCAATGTAGGGCACATTAGGGAATATTACAATTAATCACCTGGTTTAGGGCAACATTTTATTGCAAAAAATTACTTACAAGTGTTTGTAATGTTACTTCGTCATCAATTTCTGAGAGTATTTTATCAGTTATTGCAGGTCCTGTGTGGTTACTAGCCTCTTCCTCAGCCTTGCGAGCTCTCGCTCGTTCTGCTCTGCGTGTTGCACGTTCATTGGATTCTGCTTCTGCGTTTGCACTGAGCGTGTCCAACATCTTCTTACGCACGACACGTAATTCTGCTCTGATCTTTCTACGTTCATCAAAATCATCTGTTTGTTCAAGCTAAATTTTGGAAAATTTCATTGCATTGATAAAGCAATTCTCTATCAGAGTACAACCACTGTAATCAGTACACTTAGTAACCATCTGCAGCAGATCTAATGTAAATTAAACTCACATAGCTCTATCAATTCTAAACTATTTCCCATTGGTGCCTAAATTACTTTGAATTTGTACTCGAGTAAGAGTAGAAGTAATTAACAATAAAACGACTTGAGTAAGAGTTAAAAAGTACTGGAAGCAAAACGTACTTAAGTAAAAAGTACAAAGTATCCTTAAAAAGTAAAAGTACTATTGTCTATATTGTCGATTTCTACTGGTACTATTGTCTATATTGTCTACTGTTGTCGATTTCTTCAATGGATTCAGACATACAAGACACAAAACAGCACACACATTATATGTGTGCAACTACTTTCCAGACCCCGTTGAAGATATGAGAAATCCATTAAATAATATACAATTACTTTATGGTTTCCGTGTTTGGATGGCCTGATCCAAACACACAGGAATGTTGCGAGAGTTAAGAAAAGCGTGCGATCAGGCCATCCAAACACAGAAACTATAAAGTAATTGCTTTATAAAATAACAACTTTCTGTGTTAAAATTTCACTTTAAGAAACTTTCACTTTAAATTTCCGTGTTTGGATGGCCTGATCCAAACATGGGTTTCGACCAATCAGAGCACGCGTTATATACATGTTATTTTATAAATAATGCTTATAAGTAAGCCACAGACAAGAGATCCCAGACACATGTAGATGTCCTATTACCTATCCCAATATTAAAATAAATCAGGAATAAATCACGTAAAATTAAACAAATGTGAGAAAGTAAAGAAATACTTCGCCACAAAATGAAAATAACGAAGTAAAACGTTACTTCTTAAAACAACTTTATTCCAAGTAAAAGTACTCCAGAAAAAGTTTACTTTGTTACATAATGCTGACTTCTCAAAAATAGTACTCAAGTACAGTAATAAAGTACATTTACTTTGTTACTTGACACCACTGCTATTTCTCTAGAGGTACAGTTAGGGCAATCACTTATTATTCTAGACTGTGCATTCCCGGTTTAGGGGAAAAAAAAGTACGCATGCTCAGAGCTGAATTATGCTGTAATGACATTGAGCCCGTAGTGTCAAAATGGCGGCTTGCCTAGCGTGGTCATTTTGAGGTTTTTCATGTTGTTTGAAAGTGCGCTAAGTTATGTAATTGATATTTTCAAAGATGAAACTGTGAAAGCAGTGACAGAAGAACAAAAGAAAGCAATCTTTTCAGTTTTATCGGGCCGAGATACGTTTGTTTGCCTGCAAACTGCAAGTTGCTCCCGCAAAAACCGGTTTGATATCATGTGGTAAACATCACTCGTTGTCATGGCAATTTTGCACATGCACCACAGAAAACGTGTCAGATCTAGGCAGAGGTCTCTTCTCCTTCGCTTTCCTGCACAAATAGAGACCTCTGTTAGCAGGGAAGCCTGTGCACAGCTGTAAATTATTCTAGTGTTATAGAGCAGGAAGAAACTGGAGTACCCAGAGCAAACCTATGGCATTTGGTAAATGACAAACTGCAAAGCTCTTCTCGCATGCAAATATGCAACACAGATGAAATTATAATCAGACAAGTTGCAGGAATCAAACCCTGGCCACAGAGGTGAAAGACATTCCAAACAAATTGTGAAAATTTGGCAAGCACTGGTTGATGCTGTTTCATTTTTTTGAACCTATCAATCAGCAATTAATAATCAGACCATATGTTGATTGAGTCTATCCAGTTTTGGCATGAGAACTAACTGTTAGACGAGATTTTCAATCATTTCACATAATTTGTAGCCATAATCAGTTCATATTATCATTAATTACAGCGTCAAATACGCAATAATAATTGCTGTCGCTTGCGGATAATTACTTTAGTAAAACCAACATTAGAGACAATACTAAGTAAATAATTGTTCGTGCTGCCAAAAAATAACATTTAAGAAGGGAAATTATACATTGGCTCGTTAGAACTTGAGAATATTAAAATACCACACTTTTACACATTTTGAGCATTAAATGAGCAATTTTCGTTTAAACAAAGCATAACTCCATAAGGAAAGCAGATTAAGCGAGCATTTTGCGAATAACATGTGGTATTAAAGTTTATTACTTAAAATTGCTCGCATACTTTGGCATTTTAGCAGGACTAATTTTATGCTATGGTGACAATAAAGAGATTGTTTTTATTAAATATTTAATTGTAAATGCACACAATGTTATTAAAGCGAAAAACCCTCAACAATTGTAAAGTTAGCTTATATTTGAAGCAAGATAACAGTACACTATAACATATTGTAAACTACAAGTGATTATCAAGAGATATTATATACTTGATAACAGGGTTGTATATAACATATTGCCCGTTGTAATAATTAGTACTACGTATACTTAACATCTCTATTCAAATTAGTTTTGTTTGCTTTGAAAATCGACGGGGAAAAGGATAGTTTAGGACATTTCAAATATTGCAAATCGACGCAGCGTGAGACAGTTACGAAGTAAAAGCCATTGTATTCATCAATATCAAACAGCAGGGTACTAACGATGTCTATAAGATATGTTGTATAGATTGCAACCTGGCCATGTGAACAGCCTGGGTTATAAACTATTATACAGGCTATAATACACTCGAAGCATTTCACTATTAGCTTAGAAACTAAGTCTTCATATGGAAGAGGGTATAATATTTTCTGACAGTTAGATCTAAGCAACAGAATATGATGGTATTAGAAAATTCTAGTGATCAAATTAGAACCTTTTGGCTGGCACAATAACAAGCTCTTGTGGTATTGTTTACTTGTCTAAATTTAAATAACTTCTTAAAATTATTCATTTCGCTTACCAATGCTTTTAATCGAGCTTCTTCTTCTTCCATTTTGTAAAGATTTTTCAAACTGTTTCACTTCCAAAAGAGACGGCTTGTGTTTCGCCAGGAGAAGAGAACACGCTGTCTGGACTCTTTTTACGAAATATAATAGGAATGTCGTTTGGTATGCGTCGCCTAAAAACTCTACTTCCTGTAGCTCATATCCGGTTTTGCGGTTAACCTTTTATGGCCACAACACAGACCATAATTTACTAAATGTTTGTCGAAGCAAGCTTCTGTTTTCATTCCTTAAGATTTTAGGGAAAATTTTTGCTTTTCAAGGTAGTTTTACGATCGTGAGTTTGTTGTTTTTTGAATTTTTTTTATTTTGTATAAATATATGGGTTTTTTCTAATTGAAACTGTATCAAATTACGAATGACTATACTCTTTATGTTATATTGTTTTTTTTATTCGCCAGTCTCCGTGTCAATTATATCAATTAGTTTTGTATTAAACGGTCAATTTGCAGCAAAAATTACTTGGTAAATTTTTAGGCATTTTAATTCTTTGTTTTATTTATTTTTGCGGTAATTTTACGTGTCCCTAAACAGGAAATTTTTTTAGAATTTTTTAGAACCATGTTACATTCAAATATTCAATTGAAATTCCTTCCCCTTGTTATTGACGTCAAACACAGACAATACTTTTTATGAAACATTTTATTCATGACATTTATACGTGAAGCATTTCCTTCCCTTTCAACAATTGTAAAGTAAACCAGTACGTGGGCACAATTGCTCCACCTTTAGACCACTACAACCCTTTCTATCCGAGGGTCAGCACTCGATCGCATATAAAAAATAAAAAAAACATCGCTTATTTTCACGTGGAACTGCACTGTTTGTCAAGAGCATTTCACAGGTTTAATTACCTCAGTCAATCAGTGTGGGGCCAATCTTGCACCCAAAGTCAAAGAATCTATTGGCTCTCGATTTTTACAAACAATCCTCCTGATTTGTTGAAAGTGGTCGACAGCTCTGGGTACAAGATTGGTGTGAGGCTGGCTGAACATGATCAGATTTTTAACCTGTCAAATATCCTTGGCAAACATGAAAGCTTCACGTGAGACTAAACAATGTTTTGTGTGACTGTTCATCGTAGATGTAAGCAATAGTATCATAGTAGTTGCTAACATAGTAATGCATACAGTATATGATAACAGTGATATATAGTTAGTTATGGTTTATATATGTCTATGAACAGTTTCATGTGTTTTCAAGTTCCTTGGCTTTCTACTTTTTCCCCTTTCCTTTCTTTCGCTTGATATTTTTCTTGTTAGCCGTCGCAGTTGAAGACTTGACAATGCTAAGAGGTTTGTGTTCTTGTTTAAGTGCTTGGCTCACTGCTGTTGTTTCTATGGTTTGCTTAATTTGAACTTCGAATTTCTATTGGAAAAGATAGATCATAGAGTGGTAAACGATTCAGAATACTGTCAGGGTGTCCCTGACACAGTGGTTAGTGCGAGTGTCTCTCATCTCTGTGACTGAGGTTTGATTCCTGCAGTATGCAGTTGTCTCATTATAAGTTCATTTTATGTTCACAGTCTGCTCTCCTTTTTTCGCCCTGTAGTAACACTGGATCAATAAGAGATGATCCTTACTGGACCTCTAGGAAGAACAGTTTAGAACTGATAGAGCTATCCAGTATAAATAAAGTTAGTTTAGTTCAGGTTTTCTCCTGTAGTAACACTGGATCAATAAGAGATGATCCTTACTGGACCTCTAGGAAGAACAGTTTAGAACTGATAGAGTTATCCAGTATGAATAAAGTTAGTTTAGGTTTCTTCCTGTAGTAACACTGGATCAATAAGAGATGATCCTTACTGGACCTCCAGGGAAAACAGTTTAGAACTGATAGAGCTATCCAGTATAAATAAAGTTAGTTTAGTTTAGGTTTCCTCCTGTAGTATTAACACTGGATCAATAAGAGATGATCCTTACTGGACCTCCAGGGAGAACAGTTTAGAACTGATAGTCAGAGCTATTCAGTACAAATAAAGTTAGTTTAGTTCAGGTTTCTTCCTGTAGTATTAATGCATGAGTCAATTCCTGGAGTAACCATCCCCCCCCCCCAGGACACCCCCGGGAATTTGCCCGATAGACAGTTCACAGGGGTCGGGAATTTGCCTTTCATATACTTGCACGGGGGCCAGGTATTGAAGGACCCCGGGGATTTGACAAATGGTTGCCCAGAATCCCACCCGCAAATTTTAAGGCAGCAAAACCTAGTTTCAGGCACACATGTGGGCGCGCTGATCGTATTTTGTGCCCTCGTGGTCAAGGTGGCATGAAATTTATTGTCAGAATAAGCGAAAATTATACCCTGTGCCATGCAAATTTAACTACAACTATTAAAGGTTTAAGTTTTATAATATTCCACATAATATTCCATATAAAATTCCATATAATATTCATAAGTTTAATACTGTTCCGAAATATCACTTACTCGAACCGTTCTGACCGCGTAGCTCAGTTGGAAGAGCATTGGGCTAGTATTCCAAAGGTCGTAGGTTCGAATCCCACCGTGGCCGGGCATATTTTTCAAGCTCGCCCGGTGTGGATATAGACTCAGAGTAACACCACAAATATCATATTCACCTGAGTACACTACACCAACACAGAAAAAATACTATAATGTTATTAAATGACTATGATTATATGCCATTAAAAGTTTAATTAACGTTTACAGTCGATTTCACGAAACTTTGACCACAAATTTTCCGAACTTCGTTGCGAAGTTCACAAGATTGTTGCGAAGTTCAAAAGTTCATAATGAATTCACAAACCAGTTTGTAAGCTACGCATTTGATTGGCTTCTTTTACTTCACGGACCAATCAGGGACTTTGTTTACAAATTGGCTTGTGAATTCCAATATGAGCTTCCGAACTTTGCAATTTGTGGTCAAAGTTTCGTGAAATCGACTGTAAAATCGTCCCCGGGGTGGGGCATTTTCCACTCTCAGCTTGCTCAAGGGCCGTGCATTAGTCTTCAAGTTGTGTCCCGGCACCCGGGCATTTACACTATCATAACCAATCAAATCAAATGCCCGGGTGTGTTCCTGGGGGGGATGGTTACTCCTGGAATTGACTCATGCATAAACACTGGATCAATAAGATATGTGATCCTTACTGGACCTCTAAGGAGAACAGTTTAGAACTGATGGAGCTATATCCAGTATAAATAAAGTTAGTTATTAAGCAATCATTGGTTACTAACCTCCTTGACAGTGACTGCTGTAGACGTTTTTGAACCTTTTTTTGGCTTGATTGTTCTACCTTAATCATTAAAAATTATAGTTAATTATTAAAATAATAACAACAAAGTTCTAAACAAAATACTTTATTTTTACTTCAATAAACAAAACCAAAGAAACAACAAATTATTATTGTAAACATTGAATGCATTCGAAATTATTAAATTGTAACACTTAGAAATTCTAGAGTCCAGAACATTTCCCGCCAAAATTATATTTTTTGATGCAGCGATTTAATATTTAGTAAAATATTTAGCAATAATTACCCCCTTTCTTTGCTCCGAAAGATTTCTTCTGAGTTTTCGCCTTCTTGGCAACACTACTGGCTTTCTTTTTAGTGCTTCCTTGAGCCATTACGTGAAACAAATAGTCAAATTTCGGTAAATTCGTTTTCAGAAAATCAAATTCTACAGTGTTCGAAATTTTGAATATTTTGTTTACCGCGCGTAAGAAGGGCTCTGGGTACGAGAATGTATCCCATGCTGCTGCGCGGACTTTATATAAAAGGAAATTTGTTTGAAGGAATTTTAATAATCGAAAATGAAATGTCAACATTTGACTTGAATAGCAAATTAGCAATTAATTAACAATTGAGCCAAGCCATTCTCGAAGCCAGAATCTAGAATTAAAATAGATTATTAAAGCTGCAAAATTACGATATCTACAAATGAAATCGTTTCAATGTAAAAAATTTTTCGACATTTCCTTGACATTTCCTATTAAAATATAACCCGAAAATATAGCTTCTCAAATGGAAGCATGCATAGTTTCTGGCGGGAAAAAACGCCCTTTATTTAAATCCACTGAGCTATACTAAATCTGGTTTAAATTTTTTTTTCCAATACAAGTCAAAATCTTCGTAGTATATAACACTTCGCACTTTGTTTTACGTATTAATTACGTAAAAAGCCGAGAAATACTAGGGTGATATTTTTGGTGTAGTATAAATATATATGGATGGAACATAGTACTTTTCATCAATATCAGTGTGGATGAACTTCCTTTGAGGTCTGTGACGATAGATTTGTTGTTGGGTGCAGGCTTTCATTCCTGGAGTGATTTTGACTTTTCGAGCAAGTGACAGCAACAGGCTTGACCGAAGGTATGAAGCGTTAATATAACTGACAGTCGGGTCATATTGAGTGCATTATAATTGGGGCGGGGGGCGGGCAGATAAATTGAGTATAACCCTTTTTACTGAAACCAAAAAAAACTCTTACTTAAAAGGCCCCATCAGCTAGTTTACACTTCCTGACATGCTAGTCTGTATCAATCACTTTGTTCATGAGCTGTATGTCTCACTCCAGCTGCTAGAGTTGTATGCAACATTTGGTCAAGATTTCAGCTCACCCAACATTTGGGCCATTCCATTTATTAAGCGCACCCCCATTATTGAGGGTTTTCAAAATATACCCCCTGGATATTGCTTTAGTAATAGGGTATGTGCATAGTATGTGGATTTCGACAACTTTTTAGGTAAAAAAATTTTCCAGACGAGTATGTTGCAATTGCTTTCCAGGTACTTTATCTCAATTTTTCATACAAAATTTGCTGCAAATTAGCCCCATGGATTTTATTTTTAACTATTACTGTACGTCTGTACTAATAATTGTTTACTGCCATGGATTTTTTAACTTTTTTAACATTTCATATTTTTACTACCATCAAAGATTTATTTTGTTTAAATTTTTTCCATTTGGATTTTTATTTGGATTTTTTTATATTTACCCATGGATATATCTTGAAAAATTTCTTTCTCCTAATGGATTTTGTTCTTTGGACCCCCTGGATATTCACAACCCTCAATAGGGGAGGGGGGTGCACATATTAAATGGTATGGCCCTTTGGTAGGAGTGAGATAATAGGTGGTTTACCAACCATCGGACAATCTACAGGGGAGAGTTAAAATTGGACTTTTAAATTAGCCTCTCTTTCATTTATTGCGAGATTGAGTCGACTTGCAAACTCGCTGCAAGTACTTTTACCCAATCCCAAGGCTTGACAGTGTATTCAAATAGATGCAAGCACTCGCCAGTAAGCACATCAAAGCGCCAGGGACGAGGCTGCTCACAGCAGGCTTGTGTCAGTTGCGTGTGGGTTTTTGAAATGAGTGGAAACAAGGCTTAAATTTAGTCATCGAAAATTCTCCAAAACAAACTGGAAACATGATTGAGTTTGCAAAATGTAAGGTGGCGGATGTTGAGGAGTGCACTTAGTTTATTGGCTTAAGGTTCATTTCCATTGGAGAAATATTCCAGCATCTTGTATATTTTAGAATTAGTGATATTATACCTTTGGACGAAGCAATTGATATTCTTGAAACAGTTGATTATAGTCGAATGATGCTCTGACATTGCATCAAGCCCTAGAAATGGTTTCAATAAACATGACTTTGATGCAGCCATGCAGGTTTGTTTTATATTTGCTTCTGTTGTTGCAGGTCAGTAAAGTATCAAACAAATTAAGGGACCGAATAATTGTTAATATACAAATACCTACTCAGTGGCGGACACTAGAGGGGGCCCGAGCCCCCCCCCCCCAATAATTTTGAAAGACTGTAAAAATCTTGTACCAAATAACATAAATCATATAACGTAATTAATTTTCATATTAAATAGTAAATATTTTATGAAACTTAAGCTATGTGCAATTGCCATTTCCGGGATACAAATTTTAAAAATTTTCCGCATGCCCCCGGACCCCTGTATAATTCTTGTGTCTTCCCCCCCCCCCCAATATTTCATAAAGTGTCCACAACTGTACTTTACTGTGTTCAGGTTCTATGAATGGATTTAAAAGCAAAGACCTCATCGATTCTGCTCCGATGAGTGCATTGGAGAACGACATTGACATGACCGACATTCATGCTGCTGGCACAAATGTATCCAGGAATAAAAATGAGAATGTATGTGATACAAGTCAATATGAGAGTGGAAATCACTATGTCTTTCATCCAATCAACGCATGGGAGTTATTTGAACAAGAGAAAAACCGACGTCATATTGTGACGTCTTGTGCCGAGATGGACGACATGTTGGGTGGGGGCGTTGAAACGGGAAAGATCACTGAGTTTTGTGGAGAAAACGAAACTGGAAAATCTCAAATTAGGTAATTAAGGATACTTAGTTAATAACTTCAGAGACGTAGTTTGATGTCCAATGAATTAACTATACCTTTCTCAATTCTATTTATTTGTCACCAAATACAAGACTGCTACATAGAATGAAAAGAATAATTATTTTCTCACTCTGATAAAATATAAATAAATAAATAAACTAAACTACAGGTTGACCACCATCTTCTGCACAATAGTGCTTATAGTAAAACTAGTCCTAATCCCCTGGACCTCCGAGAGGGGATGGTAGAGCGTGCACACCATTCAATGGTGCACACTTTGCCATAGACGGATTTTGTGGGGGGGTGCAGGGGGGTGCTACCCCCCCCCCC